TGCCAAAAAAACATAATCATGACTATTTCTGAGCATTAATGTGTACCATGCTAGAAGGTACAATTGAGGATAGTAAATTAATTTGTTATCCTCGGATATATCTAACTTGATTGGACCTGTCGTTTTACTAGTTTTGAATTCGGACTGCACAAGAAAAGCTTTGATCGAGATCAAATATGATAAAATTTCCATGCTCAAAACTGCCGTAATTGAATTGCTGCCCTTTCTCACCTTCATCATGCAACTATATAGTGTGCAGTTCCTTGGGGACCTACTTAAAAGCACAAAATCATGAACAGGCCTAAATTTTTTGACACCACTGCTGCATTCTAACTACTTGTCTCTTAGATTTCTAAAAATTGATGCTGGGAAGGGCGATATGCCCTAATTCGAGACAGATTTTGATCTGCAGATGAGTCATTAGTAACAACATTATACTTCACTACACTAATGGCTATACCTGGAAAATTAGCTATTGTTGGCTTAAGTTTTCTTTACATCCCTGAGATATTCAATAAAAGTTGTGTACAACTCACTATCATTAAAAAGTGATAAAGAGAAATCCGAATTGTTCTTAACTATACTACAAAAAAACAAAACTCAATAACCTTTCTATCAGTTTGTTAGCAGTTCCATTCGACATGCCACGCCCACCAGTAAGAGGATTTAACGGTTCCATGCAAAATTCTTTCAAACTTTGAATTTCAACTTTCAGGAATTTCTTGGGGGCATAAAACAGTTTTTGACCTCCGCTTAACATTTGTTTTCGATGGGCTCTCTGCAACCAACAAGTTCACACAAGTGTCAACAAAACCTTCATTGTTGCAATTTCCGGTGACTTCTCCAGAATAATGGTGTCGCTCTGACCCAACCCCTTTTCACCTTTGTCAGAGTGACTATGTGATCCAATGTTTTGAAGTACATTACCATTATTTTCTTCTGTGTCGCTTTCAATGGGGCAGGCCAATTAAAGTAAACAAAATCTTTATTACCAACATTTTGTCGGTTTGTGCTCACAATCGGGTACAAGTCTACTGAACTGAAGCTTTCACATTTTATACTAACCACATCTGTAGCTAGTATATATAGCATACTATATAATGTGGGGTTGGAAAACAAATATGAATGATTGAATATTGATTCACTGGTTATACATATATGGGAACTTATAGAGTATACAACATAACCAAAGAACTGATGTTCAGTGCATTTCTATTTGATTGTAAATATATTATTGTATATTAAATGTAAAAAATACTACTTTAGTATAAATATATAAATATACTCACCAGCAAAATTATGTTGTCGCTTTGTTACACATTTGTATGGAATTTCGCTGTCCAGGATTGCCCAATAACCGAAAATATTTGTATAATAATACATACATTTTACCGCATGAACATGATGATCTTTTACACCAGTATTTATTTCCGAAGAACGAGGCTTACAAAGAGTTGCGAAGGTATTCAGAACTCTAGGGTAGCCTGAGCCAATGTTATTAAGTGCCCTCCCAGAGAAATTGCTGGCGCACGCAATAATTTACAAAAATTACGGAAATTTGAAATGAAACACGAGTGGTATTTTTATCGGCGATCTGTGCATTTTAAAGCAACGATCATGTGAAAATTAGTATAGAATATTCTTTAGTATAACTGAAGGTTTGTGTTTGATGTCAGACATGCATATTTAAACCGCAGATCTTTTATTATTATGGACGTCAAAGTTTCATCATGGGGAAGTGAATTTTCGGCTGTTCATATGTCACGCTCACATGCCGATATAAAGAAGAAACTGTTTACGTAATGAACCCAAAGGTTCCTGGTATATAAAGTGGTAACAAACATCTATTAGCAGGAGCATTTTGAAGTCATCAGGTTTTAATCTGTGGAAGTAGTTATGTTGTTAAGAAATCCTTGTGACACCGTTGAGAAAGAAGCTACTTTAGCATGCATGTGTTTAACAAATGGGTCTGACATGAATTTTGCTGTTTGGAATCCAAATTAAAGGTACATTTCCTCCTTACGTTTGATATTTTCAAATGGCAGCCGGTAAATGTCCATCTTGATCGAAATTTAACTGGGACGCGAGAAAGATCGAATGCCCGCCTTGTTTTCTAGATTGAAAGCTTCTTTAAGGGGGTGCAGAGGCATGGGCGGATAGCTAAAAATTTTGACGATTCCTCCAAAAAATTAATACCAAATTTTGTTTTGCATTTGTTTGTTATTTACTTTAAACAACAGATTTTGCATTAAAAAATTGCCCCTTGTGGTGAAATCGTGGATTATGTGTGATATATGGGCTATTTATCTGCTATTAGTGACCAAAGGTTTAAGGGCCGTGATTTCAAGAGTTTACAAATTGCCGTGATGATCTGTTGTTTTATGGAACAGTACTTATTTGTTGATGATTTTTAAAAAAATTTAAATTGATCGGACTGTGTTAAACAGGTGAAATTTCAAATGATATGCTGAGGTATTTTTGCATTAATTCAGTACGTGTATAGGGTCTTAGACAGGGCCAAATTGCCAAAAAACTTACTGATTCCTCCAAAATAAAACTACATTATTTTCATTTCTAAGTGTACTAGGAAGTAAAGTTTGATAGTTGTTTTTGTTAAAAAATTGCCCCTTAACTCTTTCTCAACAGGGTCCAATTTCGAAATTTCATGCTTTCGGTTCAGTGCATGCTATGAAGACAGAAATACCACCATTCGATTCAGAAATAAAATATCAACTAGTTCCAAACGATAGTTATAGTCATTATTAGTATTGTAACGATTTATGGGCCTTTGAAAGTCAAAACGATCATATTGTATCAAATTACGCAATTGTCTGAACAAAAATACAGATTATTATAGACTAGCCATACATTTCGCCGAAAATAACTTCGGCCCCATCGAACATATCGTCTTTGTAATAGTCTTGTTCGAATCCCCATTAAATAGTGTTTTTGGAGTGTTATTTGCAACCCTGAATCTACAAATCTGTATCTTTTATCAATATATTTCCATTTCTTGTCCGACTGTGAGCTCGAAGTGAATTAATCCCAAAACAAAACCGTCAAAACAATGCGGCGTTTGTATCGTATGACCCTGGAAAGGCCAGAAATGGATTCGCAAGGTCAAATTGCACCTACACGCGTGAGTTTGACGTCATCCCGGCCAAAGGAGCTTCTTATTGGCCAATTATTGCGCAATGTACGCAAGTGCGAGTAAAACCCGACACTTGAAAAATTCAAAATAAATATTTCTAGTCGGCGTATACATACGAAACTTTCTACACGAAAGCGCTTGAATACAGAGAGTATTTTACACGTATAGCCGTTCAGCAAATGATGAAAAGTTCAAGGGGTATTCAAGATCTTGTGGATATGAAATTTAGAATCTTTGGCCAAGCGGTGAGTAAATATATGATTGTTTCGCTTTGTGTAATGTTTTGACGGCACTTGACCCCCCGTTCGAAAGGTTATTTTATGAGGATTTCAATGGTGGCATTTATTTAAAAGGGGGGTAAATACTCGCCAAGATATTTATATTAGAAAAATTGTATCGAAATGTAATACGAAACCGGTTGTTGAGAAAGAGTTAAGTCGATTTTTGCATTTAAAAAGCGTGCGCTCATTCCTGACAGTCAAGTCAGTTACTCAGACGACTGTTGAAAACATTCGATATTCGAGATGTCCATATATGGAAAGTCCGGATTTCAGGTTGCGCTCCGGAGTCACACGACATGTTGAAGCGAATGTATTTGTCGAATATTTTATATTTCTGAGTTTTATTTATATCTACAGTGTTTTATTTACATCTACTGTGTTTTAAAATGTTTTTCTCCAATTGGCAATTCATTAAGGAGATTTTGAAACATTAAGATACTGTATATGCTGTATGAAAGCTGTATAAAACGGCTTTGTCCTGAGCTTTTGAGCAGTCCTGCAGTCATGTTTCGGATGTTGTTTGTGTTTTTTTTAAATATTTCGAAAATGAAACTGCTGATAAACGTTCTGCAGTGGTGCCTAAATTACTTTGAATTTGTATTTGAGTAAAAGTAATTGACAATAAAATGACTTGAGTATAAAGAGTAAAAAGTACTGGAGGCAAGACATACTTAAGTAAAAAGTACAAAGTATCCTTAAAAATACTTAAAGTACAAAGTAAAAATAAAGTACTATTGTCTATAGCACGGGCTTCTCCAATGGATTGACATACAAAAGACACATAACAGCACACACATTATATGTGTGCACCATAATATACAATATTTCACAGCATGGTCTACTTTCCAAACCCTGTTGAAGATATAAGAAATCCATTAAGTAAATTATAATGCTTACATGTATAAGTAAGCCACAAACGAGAAATCCCAGATGCACGTAGAGGCCCTATTTCCTATCCGAAAATTAAAATAAATCTGGGATAAATCATGTAAAATTAAACAAATGTGAGAAAGTAACGAAATACTTCACCAGAAAATGAAAATAACTAAGTAAAATGTTACTTCTTAAAGCGACTTTGTTCCAAGTAAAAGTACTCCAGAAAAACTTTACAAATAGTACTCAAGTACAGTAACAAAGTACATTTACTTTGTTACTTGACACCACTGACTTTCTGCAAAATGCCAAAACCCCCACAAAATATTAATACTGTATATGAAAACAATATTGGGTATTGATTATTGAAAAGATCTATTCACACACAATATTTACACAATGATGCAATATTTACATAAATTGTTATAATGTTTGTTGAGAATTATGGCATACAAATTGTAATTTTTCAAACACATTGTATCAATTCATATTCATTGTATCAATTGAAAGTCATTGTTACCAATTTACAACCATTTGGTTAAATTAAACCCAGTTCGGCAAAATTGCTGCCACACAAGTTTTGTGACTTTCCAAGACAGTTAAACATCCTGTCAATATCCTCCAAATTGCACCAAAGAACTTGAGAACCATTATTGCCATGCTGATGGCTGTCAAATACAGCCATCTGTCCTTTTTCAATCAGCACTGCCACTGAATTGGCAGGTGGAATGATGAACACACCAGCATGCTTGCAGCCTTCTTCTAGCATCTTGATGAATACTTCTCTCAGTTGGGTCTACACTAAAGAATCCAACATCATTCAAAATTTTCAGTTTTAAATCTTTAATTCTGAGTATAACATCTCGAACTTCTAAATTAGGTTGATGAGGTGGTAGATTGAGGCTATTGTATAGCACATTACCAGTGAATATTGTTTGTTGGTAGCTCATAATATCGTCAAATATGCCTGGTTTACATGATGATATATCAAATTTATTCAACAAGAACCTCCAGCACCACAGTGATGCAATAATCGTGCAAGCATTGCTTGCCATAGGTGTACCAGTGATGTTGGTTTGGCACACATTTGATGGTAGAAGCCATTCAGTAAATCCACTGACATTTGAATGTTGATGTTGGTGTATATTTTGTATTTCCTTTAGAGGCTGGCATTTATCTTTGGTTGAACTGGGTCTCGATGGTGTGCTTGAACTGGGTCTTGATGATGGTGTGCTTGAACTGGGTCTTGATGATGGTGTGCTTGAACTCAGGAGTCTTGCTGGTGTGCTTGAACTAGGTCTTGATGGTGTACTTAAACTGGCTCTTGATGGTGTACTTAGACGACTGGCTCTTGATGGTGTACTTGAACTGGGTCTTGATGGTCTGCTTGAGGTTGGAGGTGGGATATGTCTATCTTGTGATGATTCTCTTGGTTTGTGGTGATAAAGGGGTTTGGGGGGGGGGAGGGGGGAGGCCAGGTTTACCATTTTTTTACTTAGGACCTTAATTTCTTCATCTAATTTCTCAGTATTTTCAGAAGGTGGAGCTTCCATCATGGAACTTTCATCATGATCATCAGACTCGGGAACTGACTCGGTTATCCTGTCTGGTTCTGGGTTGAGAATTGCTGCTTTGGCTATATTTCCTAGCTCCTTTGTTTTGCTTTCTAGTAACTTCTGGCATATTGGACAGAATGGTGATCCTTTGTGGCAGCGTTCATGAAATGAATGCCAACAACCGTGGAAAACCTTCCAAGGGTCATCATCATTGTCGACTGTGCATGAGTTGAGGTCGGACATGCAATCTTGATCTGGCTCCTGGCAAGCATTTAAACCTAGTGGAAGAACTGTGTATGGTATTGATTCATGTCCAAATATATGTGGTAAATGCACATATTTCTTTCCTCGTTTAACAGTGGTTGAGGCCACATTAATATTCTTGCTTATCGTGGTAAAAATGTTTGTCAAAGTTGCTGCACATTTCACTTTTAAGTAATCCAATTGCTGTTGTGAGAAACTGAATTGCTTTGGAGGGGTAAATGTTGATCTGAAGTTTGCTTGTTTGGTCTTTGACTCAAAGATGGTTTTTGCTCTTTGTTGAAGTTTGTTGGCAGTATCTGAAGGCTTGGTCTGAGCTCTAATTATGCTGTGAGTGTTTTCAACTGGATACTCATCATAAATTGTGGGCCATGTACAAAATTGTTCATAAAGTTCCTTGTGTTTGTCCTTCCAGTGACATGTGTTTGACAACCAGACTAGGGGGGATTTGTTGTAATGACGTCTCTTGAAGCACAAAAACATGACCCAGATACGAATCATAGCATTGAAATATTCTCTGAAATTGTTTTGTTTGAATGTTAAAATAAAAGTGTAAATGGTGAGAACCAGAGGAAGGTAGTTATCTAACAAGTTAAAAAGTACTCCATACTGATAATCCTTTGAGTTCTTAAATTTTGCCATCACTTGTTGTCGAATTAGTGTCCAACCACCATACACTGTTTCTAGTATTAAGTTAATTCTCCAGGGTTTGGGTTTGTCTGCCAGTTTACTACTAGGGAATAGATCATTATATACTGTTTTAAAAAAGGGTTTAAAGGTTTCAAAAACATGTTCTCTACTGTTTAGGGAGATGTGCAATGGTCCCATTGTTGGAATAAGGGATGTCACTGGAGGAAAGTTACCTTTTACCATATCAGTTGATGACTGGTGTTCTTGAGTGGATGTACTAGCTTTACTGTGTCGAGGAAGGGACTGGTATACTAATTGCCTGCAATAGAACTGACAAGGCCAATCGCCAGGTTGGATGACTAAAAATTTCGTCAAGTATTTTTCCAAACCAGATGACATGGCTATGTCATAAGCTTTGGAAAACCCTCCTTTTGACTTCAGTTCAAGTTCAACAAAGTCAATGAGGTGGAGATCTTCCATGGTTCTCATCAACCGAACAGCACTATTGTCACAGTAGCCATGTTCCTCAAGAATATGTCTTGCAGATCAGGTGTAAAAAACGAGGTGGTCAACCAGCTGGGCATTGTCGAGGCATAGGGTATTACTTAGGGAGCATTCATTTTTTAGCTGGGGGGGGGGTGGGCCGGAGGAACTGATGTCTAATTCCATGCGAAAACTTGGAACCCCCAAGACAAAAGTTGATAAAAAATTATGACCCCCTATTTTTTTACTGAAAATGTTTTGACCCCTCATCCTAACTATTAATCCACACAGTGTCGTTTCCAAAGCGTTTCAGGGCTGTAGGAAGCTCTTTTTGATTGGGAGCTGAAAGCGAGGGCCGAAGGCCCGAGGAAATTTTTAAATCTAGAGTCTCTGAAATGCCATTTCTTGGCCTTTGGGGGAAGATTTGACAGAATTCTGATGTTTTAGTATGTCAAAATTGACAATTTGGTAGTACTAAATGGGTGAAGGCATATTTAATTAACAATATATTGGATAACTAGGATAAGTTGCAGGAAACTGTGGGTACTATCTTCATTCTTTGCAGTTTGTCATGGATAATGTAGCCGCTTAAAATTAATAACGCTTAAAATTAATAAAGGCTGCATGATTTTGAAGTCATGCACTCCTTGAAATCATGCATTATTTTGAAATCATGCGACGGTCCTGCGTTTTCTTTCATTCATGTTTTCACACAAAAACGGATAAAAACAAGGTCAATTGACAAACGTCATGGAAATGTTTTCCTATGGATTGTGTGAACAGAGCGTCAAATGAATTTTGCTTTATTGTTATAGATGACGGATAGTTAATAGATTCTTCTTTTTACCATTCTTCATCCAAATATTTCCAAACTCTATAAAATTATATTGGTGATTTTTTCACTGATTATTTTTATGACCCCCTCCATTTATACCAAAAGTCCAAAACTATAAAAAGACCCACCCCTTTGAAGCATGTCAAAATTTGCTGACCCACCCCCAAATTCCTCCCCCCCCCCCAGCTAAAAAATGAATGCTCCCTTAATAGTGCAATTTGCTGTTCTGATGTTAAAATATCGACACAAGATTGTACATTAACACCATCTGGGTGATGAATTCTCCAAATATTTTGTGGGACTTTAATTGCTTTAAGTGTCTTGAATGCTTTCACCACAATTGTACACATGCTCATGGAATTTAATGTTTGAAAATTTGGTCTCCGATTTGTATGGATCTTGGTGAAGTCAGTGGATCTTGGTGAAGTGTGGCCTAAGCGGTATTGTGTATCAATGCCTTCCTGGGTCATGCGGTTTAAGTACAATGCATGGTCAATTTGCATCACATTACACATCTGGCTTCGGCAGTAGCACATGGTATAGATAATTGACACTGCTCGTATACGATTTAAGTCCTGGCGTTTGTTGGAATGCCGGTCATCTGTGATTGCTTGGAGGATGTGATTGAAAATGTTTGGTGCACCGGCCTGTCTACACAATTCCATAAATTTGTTGATTTCCAATGACAAATTTCTCATACACCAATTGCTTAACTTGCTCCAATTCAAATTTGAGGTCACATCCTGTAAAATAGCAATAACCATGTAGTTATTGAAATTTATTATTTTAAAGGGACTGGTCATTACCCTGCATTAAGCCGCAGAGCTTCCCCATTGACGAGTAAAATCTGACGTTAGACAAGTAAAAAAATAAGTAGGGTGCACTGGGGCGCATTGCGGCTCAATGGGTTAAGTACCTGATGGGAAATATTTGGTGCATGGACCATTATATATATTTCCTCCACCCCCTATGGGAGTTACTTATGACCGGTCCCTAAGGCTATTGTGGTAGTGTTCTTAGAGTGGGTAAATTTGTTTTTTTCACCAATTTGGCATACACCCTTTCCATAATTATGTCATAAATACTTTTTTGCCCTGTGAGTCTCGCTCTTGTTTGTAAAGATGCAAGGTGATTGGCTCACAATTCTTGAGAGTGAGGCTTCCAGGCCAAAAAATAGTTAATTATGACTTAATTTAATTTTCGACAGGGTGTATTGTATTGTTTTTATATACATTTTTATTAGGCTATTCCAATTATTACTGCCCCCCTGTTGAGGAACCCTGCAAAGTGGAATTTCTGCAAATTTTCATGTAAAATTTAACCCTTCCCATATGGAATTTCCTTGTAAAAATTATCCATGCCCATGGAATTTCCATTTAAAATTTGGCCTTGTCCATGGAATTTCCATGTGCAAATTACCCCTCTCTATGGAATTTCCACCATGGGACATTTACTCCTTGGAAATTTCCTTCTAACATAGGTCCTCCCATAGAATTTCCATCCAATGAAATTTACCTCTCCCTCTGGAAATTCCATGTGAGAATTATTCCTCCCCTTGGAATTCCAGAGCCTGGATGCCCCCTTTCCTGGAAATTCCAGGGTTAATGCACCCCCTTCCCAGGAAATTCCAGGGTTAATGCACCCCCTTCCCAGGAAATCCCAGGGGTAATGCAACCCCTTCCCTGGAAATTCCAGGGTTAATGTTCCCCCTCCCCCGGAAATTCCAAGGTTAATGTACCCCCTCCCCTGGAAATTCCAAGGTTCCTCAACTGGGGGATGCGGATAGTAATTAGAATAGTCCATTGTATTTGTGTACATACTTTCAGACAAGGCATTAATGTGCACTTCCATATCTTCGTATATTTCCCCAGGTATTAAAACCTCTCCATCCTTATTTTTTTGTACAGCGCCAAAACATGTATGTTCTGTTTCCCATTCTGCATCTAGCTTTCTCTTTGAGTTTCGAAATTCTTTTCTTTTGGCTGGTCATCCTGATTTAGCCACGCTGTTAGCTCCCACCAACTGCCCATTAAAAAACACAATAAATGTCAAAAAGTAATGGCACTATACATTTTTATATAATTCCCAGTTTCTTAATTTCTTCTTTCTTAAATATACTTACGTGAAAGAACATTTTTCCTGTTGCTTTGTACGAACACAAAGCTCGACGACAAGACAAACATAGCACAGCTGTACATTCCAGCGAAATGCCGAAACAATTTTCAACAAAATTGCTATCAGCTGGGCTTTTCCTTGTAGTTTCCTCCTTCTTTTGGCAACATTTATTGCAGACCCCACAAAAAAATTTTGTTTTATCTCTAACAGATAATACAGTTGCTATAAAAAAACAAAGAAGCACAAAACCGGGTTTTAAAGAATTAATTGCCTTGTTTGTTTATGTATTTAAAGGTCCCGCCGTATCGCACGCGAACAATATTCGCGAGATACACGCTGGCCAAGTTGGCGCATGCGCAACAAATTTCCCACCTGTTCCCAGTAACTCGAAATTTCTTTTTCACAAAATTTATTTGCAAATTCCTTCCATTTTTTTAATGATAATTAATGCTTTAACCCATTGAGTCGCATTGCACCCTGATGCACCCTACTTTAGTATTTTACTCTGTCTAACGCCAGAGCATTTTACTCTGTCTAACGCCAGACGATTTTACTTGTCAAGGGGAGAGCGCCGGCGCTTAATGGGTTAATTTACCTGACAATTTTGTATTGAAACACATTTCATTAATTTATAGTAAATAACTGTGTATTTTGCAAGTTAAATTCTGCTTAGGGTGTGTGAACACGTTCATATACATGCCTGGGAACTAGATTGGGATGAGGGAATGAGCTTATTCAGCATGACAGCATAACCTTACTCCTGTTAAGGCATCTATGTGCCAGATATATTGCATGGCTGCAATGGACATTAACAGTTAAAATAAATCAGCCTAAAATCAAGGAAAATTTACAAATTTGGTTTTCATGACACAAGGTGAGTTGTGGGGAATAAGTCATGTATTGCTTTTGGTGTTTACTGCACCTACAATAGCCTCATTTTCATGTCTGCCTTTTAACAAAACTTTCACCGCCTTTCTGATATTATGCATCTCAAATTCACTAGTTTGTGAGTGAGACATAATGAACTAACCCACATCAGAACAAGACAAATTAGGTCAAAGTGCAATACACGTCAAAGTCATAAATTAATAAAACACAAGACAAGGCAAAGGTTTCTTGCATGTTTTTATTCTCACTAAAATTGTGGATGCGTACAAATAACATATTTTCTCACTAAGCATCTGAGTGATATCGAGAAGAGTTCAACACCTTAAAAATAACATTAATGTAACACAGTATCTATTGGTTAGGTTCTCTCGATATATCCCTGTGTTTTACCAAAATGCATGCAACAATGTACAGTCGTTTTTAATGTTATCAAATGAATGATATAACACACAGGACTGAAAAGGTGGAAAAATTAAAAAATATAAAATGAAACATATTTCGAGAATATGCATCTTGTAAATCCAACAGTGATTTTGCGTTTGAACATCTAGGATATAAAACATGCATATCTTTTTGTCTTCATTCAGTTCCTAAGAAACGAACTTTCCTAAGAGAACACTTTTGGCTTCTAGACTATTGTGCATCAGAGATCTACATGCCTTAGTTTTTTCGGGGTTTTTCGAGTCTGGTCACAATAAACTGTTTCTTGATAATATACTGAGTGTTTCATGAGTGCTGCTAAGCTCTTGTGGAAATTAACATCTTTCGATTTATCAATGCTATTAAAGTAGGTAACAATGCCATGCCTCATCGAGTTTGTGCTTGCTCTGATCGAAACCTCGTGCTCAATATCGTGTAAATACTTCGCGATTGTGTCACTGCATGCGAACGGATGGCTATATTTATTACAAAAAAAAAATAATCGTGACTATTTCCGACCATTAACTTGTACCATGCTGGAAGGTACAATTGAAGATAGTAAATTAATTTGTTATCCTCGGATATATCTAACTTGATTGGACCTGTCGTTTTACTAGTTTTGAATTCGGACTGCACAAGAAAAGCTCTGATTGAGGTCAAATATGATAAAATTTGCATGCTCAAAACTGCCGTAATTGAATTGCTGCCCTTTCTCACCTTCATCATGCAACTATAGAGT